GGGGAGGTGGTCTTCGACGATCAGGCGACAAAGATGACACAGAGAAAGATGGCCCACATCAGTACAGGGCTTTGGACGTCGATCCTCAACAACTTCGCGCTGTGGCTTCAAGGGGTGTGCAAGAAGAAGGCCATGGAGGTGTGGGGAGGCGGGCCACCTGGTGCCACAAGCTGGGCAGTGTGGTGCGGGCCAGGTGCCTCCCACTCTGCAGGATCTCCTCGCCCGACACAGGTGTTCTGAGAAGAGGAGGAGCAGGCTGATCCCCCGGTTCAGCAGTTGGCCTTTGTCCTTTCATTGGTTGGAAGGATTCGGCAATGGCTAAAGGGTGCCCGGCGTGCACTTTGGTTGACGAGCTTGCTGAGAGCCTCGGAGGAGAAGGACAGATAGGCTGATCGCTGGTGGGGAAGCACGGCAAGTCTCCTTTTGGCCAAGGCGTCACGACCATGAGCCCAGGCTCGGTGGTCAAATGGCTAGGGCTTGAGCCCACGTGGCGGGAGGGTCCGTCGGACGGTGCGGGCCATGGGCCTTGCTGTTGGAGGACGCGGAAAGACGAGGAATACAAGTTTCTTGGTGACGTGGGTGCCAGCGGCTTTTTGTGGAATTTGAAGTGGGGTACCTTCATTGGAGGCGGTCTAGGGCAAGAAGGACAAGAAGTCTCAAGGTGCATGGAAAGGGTCCTGGCCATGTTCTGGAGGACGTGGAAAGGCTTGGATGAAGAAGATGACTCGACATGAAGCGCGTGACCGCTACAAAGATGACTTGAAAATTGCTTTCCTTGGGAGCGGCTTGAAAGGACCGTGCGTGGTCTGATGTTCTTGTCCATGACAGCACTCACGGAATCCATGCCTGGAGCTGCGCATGTGCTTCCCTCAGTACGATGGGCCTGCAGCTTCGATGGCGAGTGCCGGTCTCATCCCCACAGTGGAGTGCGTAGGTTGGCGCGCAACCGGCGTGACGTGTCACTAAGCTGCCCGAGCTCACCCCAAAAGCGGGGATGTGGCTGAACCAACCGAAGGTGGCGGTCACTCATCTGCCTTTGGCCTTTGGCCTTTGGCTCTACATCAGGGCCGGCGACATGAGCCCAGAGATTGAGACTGACCGGAAAGATGCAGCACGAAACGAATTGCTTGTGTAGGACAATGACAAATCAGACGATGGGACCATGTTTTTCACTAACAGTTTCCTCGCTGCTGTTATTGTGGTAGGTCACAGTGGACGAATTCATTGATGGCTGCGCCAAGCTTCAAGGGGAAGCGAGCGCGCTTGAGACGAAGGTGCTGCATTTGGAGGTTCGCGAGCAGTTACCGGAGGGAAGGCTTTGAAACGTTTTTTTTGGGACGATTTCATGAGTTGACGGCTCAAACAAATTCATTTGCGAGGTGAATTTTGTTAATTTTTGTTGTGGTTGTGCGGTGTTGTTTGGACAACGGAATGTGGATTCTTGATATTTTTGCCCGAACGGCAGGTACAGATGGTCAGAAGACAGCTGGACAACTACATCAGATACCAACTTGGTGGATCAAGCAGATGCTCGGTTACTGTTTTTCCACAGGGCATGCCGCATGGGATGGCTGGCCCCTGGGCCGTACCAGTCTCAATCAGTCTGAGGTATATGGTTCCCATAGACAAAGGAACCCCAACACAACGCACAACTCAGTTTGATCAATTGAGCCTTTAACAATGTTTCTTTTGAACATCCGCAAACGTAAATGTTGTGGTATCAAAAGCCAGGTCGCACTACCAAACGACTTTGCAGTAGGTTCGGGGATCACTTGGTGAATGGTTTTGAACATCAGGAACATGTTGGACGATGTGAGGTGATGGACACGCTCAAAGTGAGTGAAACTGGCGGTGGAATTCCAACATTGGACGACAATGACTGGGGCGACGGGTACCTTGTTTCACGGATTGGTTTTGTTCTCTTTGGTTGAGTGCATTTTTTTGTAGAGCCCCCTGTTGGATGTTTTCTTTCCATGGTTTTGATCCACTAGCAATATGCCTTTGAACACAGTATGACGGGATCGTGCCAGCTGGTGTGGAATTTGCCGGGCAGTTCTCCTTTGAACAAATGAGGCAGATCTTGATGAAACTTGGTCACCTGCTTCCATCATCCATCATCCGGATCGATGGGATTGCTAGACTAGATGATATAGATGGAACTGATGGAACAGATTTAATCTAAAATTAGCACCAAATGTTAATCTAGATACATCAAGAAACATGATTTGCGAGCCTTCTCTCAGTCTCAATTCGGGTGATGTGAAGCCTTTCTAACTGGGGGCAAGCGCATGGAGCGCTTCTTTGGTTGCTGGTCACAGTCGCTAGCGCGTTCGCTGAGTTTATTGCTATTGCATGCTATTAGCACCTCTCCCGCGCAGAGTCCAAACAATACCCCCCAAATGATACCCCATCCTGCGTAGAAACACACAAGCACACACTGGACCCCTGTCCTGCATAGAACTGGGCGACAGGAAGATTGCAAACACGTTTGGGAATCTAACGTTTGGTCCTTGCAAAGGTTGTCTTGTAAAGAAGGCACATGCACTTGTCCAGGGTTTGCATGTTGCATCAACTAGAGCCTTTTGAACGAGGTGTTGAATAGACCATCGGCTTGTTTCGTTGGGTTTCCTGGCTCCTGTCCTGGATGCTGAGGTCTGTTCTTGGGCTCACGATCTTTTCCATCCACTTAATCGCATGGCGCTACTCTGAATGAGTCGGGAGGCCATGCAATTTCATAGCCGTGGCCAGCGGACTGCTAGTAATTCCGAGAAAACACATGGAACGAATACAAGAGGGAACGACACCTTTCTCGTTGGTTTGTTTATCTATACACTGTAGGGGATAGATAGAGCAATTAGGCACAAGCACCTGACTGACCGGTTGTGCTGACACTACTTGGCTTTCTCATTCTTCAACCCACAGTTCAAAACACAGGTGATCTCTTACCAAGCTGGGATGCCGGCCTCCAAATGGAGTGGTTGGTAGAAGTTTTCTGCACAACTGGCAATTGGTCTTTACGTTGTCTCCAAATCTTGTCGGCAAGATGTTGTCAGTGGCTACTTTCAGCGATTTGTTTAGGTTGGTTCTGCTTTTAAATATCATGATCAACCCAAGGTCGGAACACGAACATGCATGTAGCCGACTCCTTAGTTTTTCCAGGGCAATGTGCGGATTCCAATGTATGTCAAAGGACTTGTTTCATGAGACACCCCACCCGGCACTCCATCGACTTCCAGCCTCCGGCCTCCGCCGGCCGCCGGCCTCCGCCTGGGGCGTATGGGCTCGGTCCAAGCAAAGTCTGAACACATCATGAGGACTTCTTTTTGACCAGACCTTATTCGGGTTTTCCTAACCCAAGTCATCCCAACTCTGTGTGCTTGTTGCGGATGTTTTCGAGTACTTTGAGGTTGACTGGGCGACCAACTTGACCATGCTGTCACAGTGTTTAATCTGTAAACAGTGGCATTTTGTCAACTGTTTGAATGATGAATGATGAATGATGAATGATGGATGAGGATGAGGATGAGGATGAGGATGAGGATGAGGATGACGATGATGATGATGATGATGATGATGATGATGATGACATATGATGAAATATGATGACATGATATGATGATGACATGATATGATATGATACAGACTATATATATACATATACATATACATATATATATATATATATATGGATACTGAGAAAGAGAGAGAGAGAGGGACTGCAAGCGACTTGGACCAGTTCTGATGAATCACACAGGCTGCTAGGCTTGCAGCAAGCAGCCAGTGTGCAATGCTGTTCTGGTGACATTCTTGACCTTGTTGTGCATGTTGAAGAGTCCTTGCATCTTTTGGCAGTCAGCAGATGCAATCCACAGGATTTAAAGCCCCGTCTGCGACTTCTTAATTTTCTCGATATGTGTTGCAAAGGATTTGCTTCGAGATGCAGCGAAGGTCATGAGCCAACCTGGCAAAGCAGGTTTCAAATATTCCCTGAGCGTATGAAGTTGCATGTCTGCACAACCTTGTGGGTGAGTTGACCAAAGCTTGCCAACAATGCCTTGATTAGCGAGCAGATTGTGAGCTGACAAAACCTTTAGGACTCAAGACCGGAGAAGGGCTTCTAGTGAAGATCGTGTGCCACCAATCAAACACAACAGTGAGAGGTTCCCACCGCTTTATCAACAGAAGTTGTTTCACGAGAGAGAAACTTTCCTCAGACAATGCACCATTTGCTCTTATGTCGATTCTCTTCTGCGTAAGTGGCAGGCTCACATCTGCGGAATCGTTTCACTGCCCAGCGGCAAGCTTGCCTGAGCCAACACGTAGTGTGTCTCTACTGACGCCGTTTTTAGGGTGTTTTTTTGCTGAAAAAGCCGCAGGTGGCTGTTGAGGAAGCCAATCTCAACAGCCACTTCAGAGGGATGAGATGTCAGGTGTCTCGCTGGATTTTTCTTTACTTCTTGGTGTTGCATGCTTTCATCTCCCAAACCCGGATTCATCGATAAAGCTCGAGCAGGAGTGCATGCACTATCCTTCCTAGATGAGGTCCATGAAACTGGATGCCCAACGTGCCCAGACCTGTCCAGCCAGTGGCTCCCCTCTCCTGACCTGTCCAGCGCAACAGCCAGAAGCGACATGGTTCTGTTAATTTGGACGTTTGGGAACTGTACCCCTTTTTGAAGACACATCGTAACATTGAACCTGACCGAAATCAGTGGAATTGGAAGATCATCGAATTCAAGGCGTCACTGGGTTTAGGCATGGCGTCAGGTCAAGCATGAGATTGGCAAAGCTGGAGATTACTATCCTCCAACTTGAGGATGAACATCGACCAAGATCAGAATGGTTTGAGCTACCAGTTCAGAACACTCTGCTGTGACCATTGAGGCAATGGAAAGTGCCCTGGTTTTGGTGGGGAGATGCGTCTTCTAGGAGTCCTTTCTCCGTACACACACACACACACACAAAACCAACTTCTCAGTCTCCAAGCGCTCCGTCGCCAGGCTGTCCGAGTGGGAGTGCAACCAACTGTTGGCCTCTAAGCGACAGAGCTACGGGATGCGGCGCTACCGGGTCACCAGGCGCAGTGCTACCGGGGGCGCCCGGCCACCTGGGAGCCCTGCCGTTGGGGCCCTTCGGGGTGCTCCGCCGGTCGGGTTTTCGGACGGTTGGATCTCACGGTGCATCTCACGGGTTGGAGGTCCTGGTCAAGTGGTCCGTGCGTCCGATCCCCTGGTGGTTTCCGCAGCTCAAACAGCTGCTGTCGGAAGAAGGAAACGAGTTCCACCGGATCCCGAAGACCACCATGTCTGGGTGTCCTGGCTGGACTACCCTACACACACTTGTCTGGGTCTCCAGACAGGATACCCAGACAGGATGGTCCTGGTACAATGATGTTGATAGAATCAAACATCCCGCGGAGTGGACACTGCTCCTTCGTTCGTTTGCTCTGCTCGCTCTCGACAGCTCCTTCGTTCGACCATGGTCTTTTTGGTATTTTTTGCGGGCGAAAGTGAGTTCGACCAAGCAACCAGGGCCTCCAGGGACATCAATCACACACGAACTTTTGGACCAATCCCTGAACTAGCTAGATGGGCTTTTGCTGGGAACCCAATTTCCACGGCGCTGACACATCCATTGATCGCTCCCATAGGCTGTTCTCTTTCTCCGGGGGGGACGCCGCCAAGTGCGCTTCGCGCCCGATTCCATGTCCGGTTTGACTCATCTGAGACGAATCACTGCTGCTCCCGGCCGCCACAACGCGAGTCGATGACGGGGGGCTTTGGCGGTCGATGCTGCGCTCCCGGTGGTCGGTGCAAGGCGGTCGATGGCAGGGGACAAGGCGGTCGATGGGACAGGAACGCCATGATTGTGGCGTTCGGACATGGAGACATCAGGGATAACCCATTTTTTTCAGACATCCCCACTGCCCCACTCGCGCGGAAAGTGAACAGATCAGCTTTGACACAGAGACGTTTGTGTGTTTTGCAACTCCTGCCTCTTGTTGGTTCTCATGTTCAGCAAACCAGATGGTAGTTACTAATTACAGACAAGCCAGCCAGTGGCAGAACCTCCCCCACCAGAACATCACCACCTAACAAGGAAGACCGGAAAGGCCAAGTTGTGGAGACTTGTATGAGAAGAAGTTCATTTGTGTGAATGAGAATTTTCGAATCTTTGCGACGCCTTTGTAGCATTGACTTTGAACATGGTGGGCGCCACTGTGCACAGCTAAAGAAAAGCATCTGAGTGACTGGACTGCCATGGAGTTGCGTGCTGGCACTGTTCAGCATATTCGGAGACCAAATGGACCGTCAAGAGTTTCTCGCCAAAGAGGATGGGAGAGACTTGATTTTATGAAGTGATGGTTTATTTTTTCGCATGATGGGATAATGCCGCTCAAGTAGATAGATATTCTGGGGCAATAGATTGTAGAGCTTCGCAGACCGGCGATGCCGGTTGGGCGCGTGTTCGCTATCGTGTTCAGTTTCTGATGTGTTTTTGTTGTGTGTTCTTTTTTTTTGCGGCTGTCCGTTGCCTTTGGACTTCTTGCTTTGTTATTAAGTTGTTGCCTAAAGGCCAAGTCATCCGCGCAGTATAGGTCCAACGAAATTCAACCCAATGGAACTCAATATCAATCTTGTGTTTAAGTGCAGCACCAAGCCGACCAGAACTTTTTCAAAGTGGCGGTGGAAGGGCTGTGGCTACTGACCTTTCCCGATCTCAGACAAAGTACCACAAACTTCCTCAGAACTGTTGGCTGTCTCATCCAAAGCTTGCCCCCCCCCACCGACACTGCCAGAGACAGTTCGTAAGATTTCCCCTGCCAGAGCCCCCCCAAACCCATGTCAGCTACCGCAGAAAACTCTGGACCTGTTGGGCCGGCCGGCCTTTTGTTCGCACGCACCGTTGGATTCCTCCACCCTTCGGAGCCAGGTTCGCACCCTGCGGTTCGGTCCACAGGGGTGCGGCTCGCGCGGTGACGCTGCTCGCGCGGTGACGCTGGGCGCGGTGGCGCTGCTCCGCGCGCTGGGGCGCAGGCGGACAAGAGGGGTGGTGCGGAAAACAGACCCGGAGCCACCCATGCTAATGAGCTAATGGTTCCTTTCTGAGTTGAGCTGCTTCTAGGAGCTAAAAGGCTTTTGGCAACTTTAGATGATCCTGGTGACGTCCAAAGACCTAAACTTCGGAGGCTGAACCAGACACTCGAACTCCGGCATAGTTTTCTTCTCGCGTGTGATGTGCAGTCCAAAGTCGAAGGGGTTCCTCTCAGTCGTTTTGACCAGGAGGGAACCAACACATGAATCCAACCAGGACCACGAACCAGGGAATTCTCTAACCATGAATCTGACCAGGATTCTTTTGCTCCTTACGGAATGCCACTTCGTTGCTTCAGGACGGTGAGGCACACTGAAACATGGAATCTTGAGAAGGTGACTTGATGTGATTCATGCTCCCGGCCTCCTACACTTCGCCGCCCATATCTCGATCGCACTTCACGTGTGGTTTTGGTCTTTGCACCTCATTGAAACATATTGAAACCACATCCAAAACACATCCCAACCACTCCTTCTTGGTTTGGGTCTAAGTGGCACCGAGCTCCGTGAGCTCGCGCCCAGCTCGCTCTGGGCTCCCTCCTCCCCAGGCGCCGCTCCCCCCGCACGGCGCGCAGCGCCTGGCGGAGCTGGGCCGAGGAGCTGGGCATCGACGCACCGAAGGCCACGGTCGCCACGGCCGCTGTCGCCACGGTGCTTGATCCAATCCTCTCACCATGTTGAGCACTTACGACGGCCATTTCCAGCCCCCGACTTTCTTTTTGACATGATCCATCCACCTTCTCAGATGCTTCCACCCGCGTACTCAGAGCCTCTGAAAGCCGCTCAAGGCGGCTTTTTCAAGGTGGACTTGACCACCTTCGAGGATGCCTTTGGCAACAACTTACGGGGGCCACTCGGCCACTCGATTTGAGGGGTTCCTCCAGCGGAGGATGGCACTGGAGGATGGTTTTCCCGAAAGCGCTCCAACCATCGTGCGGCACGTAGGTAGCTGTGGCGATTCAAAACGCATCGTGCCATTGTTCAAACCTATTTTTGTATGTATTACAATTGTATTACATTGTATTATCTGGTTTTGCTTGAGGTTATTCTTGATTTTCCCTATGGGTAAATTCCCTTCTGGGGAAGTTTTTTTTCGTTTTCCTTGAGCAAATCCAAGATTAGATTGATCCAGTCAATTAATACCTAACTACTCAGCATATAAGAGAGGCGACTATTTGTCATTTTTACGCACGGATTTTGAACACTACACTTAAGATGTGGATCCTCCCGGATTGATGGTCACCACGAATATGACACTGGGCCAAAGGTCCTGGTTCCGGCATGGGGAAGGTCAATCTTCTTTCAATCAATAGTTTCGATTGAACTGCTTTGGGGACACCCTGTGAAACACCTCTATAAGCGTATATGTATATAAACAGTACTTGACTTGCTCATTCCGCCCGGAAATGTAGCTTGGAACCACCTGGCAGGGTTACGACCTCAATGAGTAGATGGACAGGAAGCCTCCTACTTCCAGTTTCAGTGGGCCAATGAACTCCCTTTCCCCGCCTCCCTTTCTGACCATTTCACTCCACCTTGTAATGCGTATGTTCATTTTCCATATGCAGCCTTACATCTCTGACCAATTCCTGCCATGAGACATCTTCCACATCCAACGGATGTGTTGGCAACTGTCCGGCTGCAGCTTCAACAAGTTCAGCTTCTGAGGATGAGATGCACTACAGAGATCTCGAACGACGAGGCCATCGTCACGGTGCCCTCTGACCGGACGCTTCAGGCGTTCAGCCTCGCAGAGCGGAGAGCATGGTGTGGAGCCGAAGTATACCATGGGCTATCGTAGGACGACATCTTACAGACTTACAGGTGTTTTTTGGGATGCCCAGCGGTCAATTCAAAGTCGGGAAGATCCTGAATCACTTGGAAGAGTCTTTGTCTATGAGATCATGGGAGCATGTCAGGACTTGCTTGTGGGGAAGGAGATTGGCTGAATTTCAGTGCTGTTTCGAGGACTTTTTCAAGGTCAGCTCCTTGCGGATGAGGTGACAACCGGCGGTGCAAGCCCGGGCTTCGTGGAGCCAGAGTGCTGGCAGAAGCTTCCCTGGTGGGCGCAGCTGGCGATCTTGGTTCTGAAGGAGGTGGGGGGGGGGGTCAGTCAGAGAAGAGCAAGTGGCCAAGTCAAAGGGGCGATATTTGATCAATCCCTTACACGATTCAGCAGGTGGCCATTGGGCAACAAGATTCGGCCGTGGCTGTTGGTGCATGCTGAAGGTGCACTGTTGTCATAGAAAAGTCCTCTTGAGTAGTACTCCCACATGGGGTACGGCAGCCGCTAGCCTCTTCCAGGCGAAGCAGCCGGGGTCTCACCTGGCCGGGTGGTGTGCCAGTTTGCCTCAAAGCTTCGAGGACCGGGTCTGGAGGGCCCGGTCGGGGGTCTCGAGGGCCGGTGTGTGGAAGACGTAAACATTTGGATCGTTTGCTGGGCTTCGTATGAGGACCACGACCGGCCAACTCTCGTTGAATCTATGTACATTGGCAAACGTTGGCTTCCCAAATCTTTCAACTTTCGACAGCACAATTGGCGAACGTTGGGTTCAATTGATTCGCAGAGCGCTGACTGAAGACCTCACGCGCTTCCTCAGAGACCATTCAGAGACAAAGGCTCACCTCTCGATGCACACATCAGGCCCGGGGTCCTCTATCTCTTTTGGATCAACTCCCCTAGAAACCCATCGCACAATCTCTGCCAGAAGTCCATGGCTGTAAGAAAATTCCAGCCGTATGAACGGGGATGGATCGCAGCATTCTTACAACCTACTGGTGGAGGAAGAAGATCCGTGTACAAACAAAGTTCGTGACATTGACAATTACCCGGCATCTAGATTGAAAAAGTAAGAACCAGACCAAACAAAACTAAGAGCAGTATGAACGAAAAAGAATCACGGGATCAACAAAAAGAGTCTAGTCCATTGGTCCCCTGGTCCTTTGGTCCCATAGTCCTTTGGTCCATGGGTCAAAAAGCGCGC